TAGATAGATAGATAGATGATAGATAGATAGATAATAGATTAGATAGATAGATAGATAGATAGAAAATGATAGGGAGATGATAGATGATAGATAAACTGATTGATAGAAGACAGATAGAGAGATAGATGATAGATGATAGATAGATGATAGATGATAGATGATAGATAGATAGATAGATAGATAGATAGATAGATAGATGATAGATAGATAGATGATAGAGATATGGAAATAGATGTACTGCAAACCTAGTTTTCACAAACCATTGATATTTGCCTTCCTGATTCTAGTTTGTTTTGCTTTACATAATAATCTCCAATTCAATCAGTTTCCTGCAGTGATATAATTCATTCTTCTCTACAACTGAATAAACTCCCTGTGTATAAACTCATTTTCTTTACACATTCCTTTGATGATGGGCATTTGAGCAATTCTGAATCTTGGGTATTTTGAAAAGCGCTGCAATAAACATGAATGTGATCGTGGAAAGCTGTAGAAAACTGCCTTAGTTTCCTTTTGGCATATACATAAGAGTGGTATAATTGAATCATATGGTATTTCTGTCTCCAATGTTTTTGACAAGCTCTGTAACTGATTTCCACAGTGGCTGTGCTAGTTTATGTTCACATGAAGGATATAAGGTTTCTGATTCTCTACATCCTCACTAGCGTTCATTTGTTTTCTAGGAGATGACAGTTCTGAGTGGGTGAGATGGAATCTGAAAGTGGTTTTCATTTGAACTTTTCCTTATGGTTAGGAGATATTGGAATTTTCTGTCATATGCTTATTTCTTGTTTTGAGAACTCTCTTTCAAGTCATTAGCTGATTTATGGATTATATTACTTGGGGTTTTGTGGTGTTTAATTGTTTAAGATCTTTGTAGATTCCAGATATTAATCCACGTCAAGTGTCTAATTGGCAAACATTTTCTCCCACTCCATAGTCAGCCTCTTCATTCTGTTAAGTGTTACTTTTTAATATTATCAGATACTTATAAAGTTCATGCAATACTATCTGTTCATTATTATTTTTATTTATTATTATTATTATTAGTGTATGCTGTAGAGGGCACTCATGCCTCAATCCATAGGTGGTGGTCAGAGAACAACTTTCTGGAGTCAGTTCTGTTCTCTCTTTCCACATGTATGCGGGTTCTAAAGATCAAACTCAGGTCCCCAGGATTGTACAGCAAGACCTTTTACCCGCCAGCCTCCCATTTGTTAACATTCTTGTAATTATTTCCCAAACTACTGGAGTCTTTTTCAGAAAGTCTTTGCCGAAGCCTACTCTTGAATCAGACTCTCTGTTTTCCCCGACAGTTTTAAAGTTTCATATCTCACATTAAGGTTCTTGATCCATTTGGAATTAATTTTACACTGAATGGCAGATATTAAGTTTTATTCTTCAATTTATGGATTGGGTTTGTCCCAGCACCATTATTAAAGGTGTCTTTTCATCAGTGTGTTTTTGATACATTTGTCAAAAATTAGGTAATTATCATTGTATTGTTTTATTTCTGAGTCCTCCCTTCTGTTCCATTGGCCAATGTGTCCCCCTTTGTGCCAGTAAAACGCTGATGGTGTTACTGTGACTCTGCACTAGAAGTTGAGATCAGATATTGTAATAATTTCTGCCTTGTCTTTTTTTGAAAAAAAAAAATAGGATTGTTTAGAATATGCTGAGTATTTTGTGATTCCACATGAATTTTAAGTCTGTTTTTCTTGCCTTCTGAATAATGCCGTTGGAATTTTGATAGTGATTTTCCTGAATATGTAGATCGCTCTCAGTAACATAG